TTTTCTTGGATGAATGTAGCATATAATTATTTATTTATTTATTTTTGCTTCTCTCTTTTATAATAGGAATGTAATGTTAACTACTAAATCAAATTTATCTGACCTAATTAGCTATTCAACTAGAATCTCTAGACTTGAAGTCAATTTGTTATAATAGATTTACTATATTAAAAATAGTTTGTTCATTTTATATATACATTTCATTTGCCCCCTCCCCTCCCCCCTCTTCTGAGAGTCCTGGGAAGTGATGTTAACTGAAAAATTAACTTCAAATGGCATCAAAATAAAGATTACGGCTAAGTTCTTCCAAACTTTGAGTGATGACTGCTCAATAACAACTAATCCAAGATCGATAAAATTTTTTTATTTAATTCTATAAATTCACAGAAATAAAATAAAAAAATTACATTGATATTAAGTAATTACTTATTGAGATATCTTCATTCAATGTTTTAAAAAAAGTTTAAACAATGATCAAAACAAGGACTGTGGTTAAATTCTTTCCAACTTAGAACAAGATATATCAATAACTACCAAACCAAAATCAATAAAAAGTTTTATTGTAATTATATAAGACCATGGAATTAAAATAAAAAATTTTCGTCAATTTTTGATAGATAGTTATTGAGGTATTATTATTCAAAGTTTAGAAAGAACTTAATCGCGGTTTTTTAAGTAATTAAAAAAGCTTTAAACGAGAATATCTTAATAACTATCTGCCCAATATTGATAAAATTTTTTTTATTTTAATTCCGAAATTCATAGAAAAATATAAAAAATTTTCATCAGTTTTGAATAGGGGTTATCATGATATCATTGTTCAGAGTTTGGAAAAAACTTGGCCGCAGTTTTTATTTTGATAATTATCTAAACTTTTTTGAATTTTAAACGCGGATATCTTGATATCTACCTACCTAATATTGATGAAACTTTTTTATTTTAATTCTATGAATTTATAGAATTGAAATAAAAAATTTTATTGATTTTAAATAGATTGTTATCGAGATATCATCGCTCAAAATTTGGGAAGAACTTAGCCGCAGCTTTTGTTTTGATAATCACCTAAATTTTTTTAAACTGTAGATGATGAGATCTCGATAACTGTCTATTCAAAATTGATAGAACTTTTTTATTTTAATTATATTGTTTATAGAATTGAAATAAAAAAATTTTTGTTGATTTGTTAAGTAGTTACTGAGATATCTTTGCTCAAAGTTTAATTTTTTTTAAACTTTAGGTGATAATATTTCGATAAATACTTATCCAAAATTGATGAAATTTTTTTATTTTAATTCTATAGATTTATAAAATTAAAATAAAAAAATTGTAATTTTGGTAGGTAATTACTGAAATATCTTACCAATCAGAACGTAAATTTTGGTAAGACATTTATATGATTGGCAGAGACCTGTAAAAATTTGTATACAAATTAATGATTGTTTATGCAAATTAAAACAAATTTCTAAGAGTAAAATTCGCATGGTAATTTGATTTGCTAATAATGTCAAATAGTGTGCTAAGTTATTTCTGAAAGAGAAAATGAATAAACATAAAAGACGAGCAAGGCCAGAACAAAATTCTCCAATACTTTCTGAAATCTTTTTATCATATTGCAGTCAGGGAATATACCATATTTGGACAATGCTGATTGCACCTATTATGGTAATCAAATGATTCTAGAAATTCCAATATGTCGATCATTAAAAGCATTAACCAATCAAATCAATTAATGATTACAGGCGTAGTATTGGATAAGCAAAAAGTTTATTTCATTTTATACTACGCTAAACATTATTAATTTTTTTATATTTAAATTTTTATTTACTTGACTTTTATTTATTAATTTATTTATTTATTCGCTCATGTATTTTATTTATTTTTACATATGTAAATAACTATCAATTAGTTTCGGTTCTGCCTTATTTTACTAACAGTTATTTTACTTGATCGCTTATTTAGCCAACACCACTTCAAACAACAATTTACTTACAATATATTTACAACTAATAAACATCAACTCTAACTCTATGTGATGTCGATTAAGTAAACTTTTAGTGAAATAATTGCCATAGAACTAGATCTTGGATCTGGTCTATCTTTCGATTACTGACGAAGAGCGTTCTTAATATCTTTATTATAGGAGGTAAAAACTTGTAATTAAAGTAGCTTATTTTTAACCGATTAATAAATGATTTTTATACCAAACAACTAAATTAATATCAATAGTACGAAATTAAAGTAAGTCACTAAACCTAAATAGCTTATTATTCAAATGATTTTTATATGCTTAACGACTTTAAATCTATGAAATTGAAAAAGCAATGTATAAAGATTCAGTTAATAAATAATGCTTACAAACAAACAAAACAAGCACAATATATTGAGTAATATGTATATAGTAAAGTTTTTTGTTCAGTAATCTCTATTTAGTTAGCAAAGATTGTGACGAAGTTCTTGAGTTTTCATGCACTAGTATTCCAAACAACATAAAAACTTGCAAGTCTTCTGAGTCTCATTTACTTTTTTGATGAGAGTTGATTGGCGCTGATTATTTTTGATTATTTAAACTACATGTTTTCTTCTATCTACTTATGTGCTTATTCATAAGGTTTAGTAAAAAAATTTTGGGCATAAAAAATTCCCGAAGAATGCTGACCAAAAGGTTATACAAACCAATCAAATCTGAGATCCGACACGTGGATCATTCTAGAATCCGATTTCTTAATTCGGTAAATCCCCTGACTGTATTGTTAAATATTAAGATATTAGTAATATTATTTAATATTATTTAATTATTTTAAACAAATTGCTATTAAACTATTAAAATATTATATTTATTAGATTGCTATTAAATAATAAAAGATAATATTTGATTATTTTCATATTATAGTTATATTATAAACATATGATATTACTCATGTTAATAATGACTTAACAGAATTACAAAAATATTTTTTAAATATTACAATAATATTTTTAATATATTTATCATATAATAACTTTAGTTATAGTGTAACTATATAATAGTTATATAGTAGTTATATTATAAACATATTTAGCAAATTTAAAGGTTTCTGCTAAGCATTGAAGCTATAATTTCATTTAACATTCCTTTCGAAGCTTAAGCCCAGTGGGGGAGGGGTCAAATTAAACAAACATTATATAACTTCTCAAAAAAATCTCTATTATTATTGGTTGGTTTGTAGTTACATGGTTTATTGAAATCTCAAAGATGTAACGGACGTTCTGATTAGCTTGTTTAATTTCAGGGGAGCTCTTGGAGAGAACGTTAAACGAGGTTGTAACTTCAAACGGCCTAAATTAGAGTTCCAATCCGGTGTGAGACCGGAAACGTGACCTGACGGCAGGCAGACCACGACTCGGTAAATCTTAATTATAATTTGGGTTTACCGCCCAGATCTGCCAGATATCCCGGATATGTCAGAACTGCCAGATCTGGAGGATCGGGATTATTTGGGTGAAATGGCGGATCTTAAAGATATGGACTATAAGGCTGATAATGGGTTTATTGATGATATTTGGAATATGGGAGATTCCTGGGAATGTAAATAATAGAATTATCAATTATAAATAAAGGCCTTTTCGGCCCTTGGAAAGAATAACTCCCACCTTTGCTTTATTAAAATCATTTCTATCGTATAATTATTTCCATATATCATACTATCACTATTAATAAAACCATACACTTCGTAATTTGATTAATTACTCTTGATAAAATTATACACTTCTACGTTTCGTATATCAAACCTAACGTTTAATATACACCTTCGTTACGAATCCTGCCTAAACTGTATTAAACCTTGGTTCTGTCCCAAACTAAACTATACCACTCGACTAAATCTAACACGCCTTTTTCGACCCAAAGTAACCTAGGTTTTGGTTACACGGACTTCCTTTCGAGTTAGCGACAGACTCGCCGATTTCGGGTCTGACACCGGATAAATACATCATCCGTTTATCCATATCTGAATTATCCGGATAATTCAGATCGGAGATATCCGAATTATCTGACAGATAATCGCCGTATATCAATAGTAAACGGATATCTGTTATCTGGTTTCGGGAGAGCATCACATGTAGACACCAATGGGAGGTTGGGTTTTGCTTCAGGTCATGGTCACACTTTTATGGGCAACCGTGATAAAACTCAAGATTTATACAATCATTAGGCATTATGGTTATGGACATTTAAGTATATAATTTATGGATAGAAGTGAGTCATGAGAAATTGTCTTTATTGAGTAGAGGTCAAAAGGGCATTTCACTTCCTTCGCTAACATCGGGGACCAGTATGTGCGGAGGTCATTGAAAGATATCGGATGATCTACGATCTACCCGAAGACATCATCCTCCCATGAGACTATCTACCTCCTAAATGGGAATCCATCGGACCAAGAACTAATTCTAGGAGTTAATACTTAGAAATGATATCCACATAAGGAAACCTATATAACCCAACTAACATTCCAAAAAGTCTAATGCCAATTTTCACTAATGTTCCGAATTGATCGTAACACCGGTATCCAAGTATCCGATCTAAATTTTATCTGGATATCTAACCAGATTGGAACTCTAGCATAATATTATGAATATTTATAAATATAGTATATTCGAATATACGCACTACTTGGATCAATGTTCAAGCTTGCATTTAAAATATATTGTATTTAGAGAGTTTGGCTATATAATAATAGTCTCTGCGAAGTAGTCTAAAACTTAGCCGTGTAGCTTACTATTAATGAATTTATCGACTATAGATAGAAAGTTTTGAAGTTTAACAAGTTCTAAAGTTTAACATTGAGCCACGGCAATTTTATTTAAGCCTCCTAATCATACTATCAACCAACCCTCGAATAATTTTTTCTTACTTTATTTGAGATTTTTCGTTTCATCCATCTTTATTTAATTGTGTAAGCCCTTTTTTGGTATCGAGGAATTTAAACTTCATTTAATTTTAATCCTTATTGCAATAATTAAAAATGAAATTCTTTACAGTTCCTGCTTTTTTAATCATCAGTTTATCATTTGTCTCATCATACGTATTCAGTCCAGACAATCGTAATGATGAAAAATTCGAATGGGGTTATCTTGGTTCCGACGGTCCTGCTCATTGGTATCAAGTTAACGAAACTTGTAAAGGCATTTATCAACAAACCCCTATAGATCTGAAACTTGAAGATTTTGATAACTCTACTAAAATTAAGTTAGATGTAGCCAAGGAAACTGAATTAATTCTCTTAAATAATGGTCATGCTTATCAAGTTCAACGCCTTAAGGGTAATATCAAGAAACCAGCATTGAATTATGGTACAACTTTGAAAGTTGGTGGTAAAACATATTATCTTTTTCAATTCCATTTTCATATGCCATCGGAACATCATATTGAAGGCAGAGATTTATTAATGGAA